GCAGCTAGTCAACACCACCCACCGCTAGCTCTTGAGCTACTTTTTTACCAATGAATAGTGGGATTGCCGTAACATCATAACGCCCCCACTACTGAAAGGCGAGCCTGTTCGGTGACTGGAATTCGAATCCGAAACACACATATTGCTAGTCGAGCGCCATAACCACCGGGCTACCAAGTTTGTCGCAATGTTATTGACGCACGCTCGTGTTCATATAGACATCACTATTACTAGACAAATAGAATTTTCAGAAGAAAGTAGTTTAGATAGCTGTTGCTAGGAGCGATAGTGCAAAAACGAAGTTGCATGTTTTAACTTATTTTTAAGCTACAGTTAAATACAGGGGAATGAGAAGGTTATACTAAGACGATTTTCAATATGCACGTCACTTGACAACCAAAACCCATATAAAGTCACTGTGAAACGGAATGTATAAGAACTACATTTCGAATCGGCTATGCATATGTAGATTATAGGGTATATAATCTGAATTAAATTTCAAATCAAATAGAAAATGGTTTCTTTATTTATCTAGAGGGCTTCTACACACAATTATTAAGTATAAAATTAAATCTTTCTGAAAACGAAAGACAAATTAAATATAATGTACTTAAACATCTAGAAGAATAATAGTACAAAAGTATTATTTCAAGAAAATGTGTTCCAGTATATAAACTGAATTAAAAGCTAAATTCTAAAGTTTACCGGAAGTGATGTAGATTCGAAAATATCGAATCGGAGACCAAGCTAACGACTCGAATCTCGTATCTTCGCAGGGCCCTACTATCAGTTCAACCGTCGCATATCCCAAGCGTATCCTGGCCGGTGGCTTTGGTTTATCGCACTTATATACACTGTATTATATATTACTGTTATACAAGTATATATACTTGTATAACAGTAATCAAAACATATAAATAATGTCCAAAATCATTAAAAAATGCGTAATTAAAAATAAATTAGCATTTAACGTAATAAAAAATACTAAATTAGCGCCATCTAGCATTTACTACCCTACTTTGCACCACAGCCATTAGCGAGATACTTCCAAGGTGGTTAACGTACGCTGATAGGCTGAACTGTCTTTGACGCACCAATCATCATAGACGACACTTATAATTAGTATACCCGCACAGACACTTGCGTCACTGCTTTTTCAAAACTGCAATTATTATATATTTGTGCTAATAATGGATGAGATTTAAATATTTTTATATTACCTAAAACACTATTTTTTTAAATTCTCCCAAGTCTGGTTTACCACCGGTAAACGCGGTAACATGGAAAATACGCCACTGCAAGCAGATGAAGAATGAAAAGGGTATTCGTGGTATTCCATAGGAATACATACCATTCTAGTCGCCTGACACAGCGTCTATGCATTTCTGTGTAATCGGACTGTTGAAATAAGCGCTGGGAAACCATCATCCTCTTACACTAAATGGGTTATGGAAACCGGCGAAAAGGTGTGCTTTGAACATACCAACCTTATAACAAAACCTTTTGTAATGGAAACGACGCTGCAAGGCTATTGTCAAGATGCACGGACGTCAGATAGAGCATGAACGGACATAACGATGTGGCGATCCTCCAAAATCGTTTTGATATAACGCGTTCAACCTCATTATACACAACCAATAAACGATTCCACTGTGAAAGTACCTAACATAATATCCACCAGAGGTCTCTCTACTTTTTACTATATATTTAAAGTTGGAGCGTTTTGTGGCACTGTTTATTTCACTTATGACGTAAACTGGCTTGAGTTAAAACAAAACCTTAGGCTTATGACTGAAAAAAATAAGATGTGCAATATTCATCAATAAATTATTGTTGTTCTTAGTTTTTAACGTTCGTTAAATAGCATGGTAGGAAAACTTATTAGTAGGTAATCAATTTATGAGTTGAGTTCGCTACATTCTACTTTATCGATACATAAAATGAAGACTCCAGAGTAACCAATACCACGCTGAGACATTACAGATAAACAAATAAATAACTTAATTTGCTTAAAACGCATTAATGTCGAAAAATCAAGCAACATAAATAAACAATGTGGTATTACTCAAATAAGTCTTAATAGTCTTAAGACAACACTCCAGTCTCTCGAAAAATGACGTCATATGGCA